TAAAAGAAATACCCTCTAAGATTTTAAGAGGAAGAAAGGATTTTACATTCTTGACTCAGGAGTTAAAGAAGCGGCAGATACCTTTCAGATGGGAAATTCCTTTGGGTATTATATTAAATTTTGCAGGGACCAGACATAGATTAAACTCTGTTCAAAAAGCCAAAGATTTTTATATGTCGGTCCTGAAAGCTGATATGTCGTCATCATCGACATCTAAAGCACAGGAAGATCCGATGGAGCAACCTGTTGTGGATTTGCCTGGGGCCATGTCGTCATTATCTGTAGAAGATCCTCAGAAGGAGCAAAGGATGACCCGTGCTGCTTATAGGCGTAAAGAGAGACAGCAACAAAAAGAAACAGTTTCTATAACATTTCCACAGCCTTCGGAGCCAGTGAGTGGGGTGAGGCCAAAGAGAGCAGCTGCCACAGACATGCAAGGAATGCTTAACAAGCTTTGTAAGCCAAAAGATGGATAAATGCTGGAAATGAGACTTTATTATGGAAATGGAACAAATTAGTTTATATGTTTGTAAAGAGCTGTTTGTTCTTTTTCTTTTTTTTTCTGAAAGAGGTAAAAAATTAAGACTGGGATTTTATTTTTATTATTTTTTTCCAGCTGTGAAGCAGGAGGTATTGACTTAAGATTTTATTGAAAGTATAGATTGGAGAGGGAAGAAAGTGAAGGGAAAATTTAAGTGTAAAATGCAAGGAAAAAATATGTAAAGTTTAAATGTTGAAGGTGGATAGATTATATTCGATGTATGGAGTGATTAAATGTTATATAGTTTTTGAGTAGATGTATTGGTTTTTAATTAATTTTAATTAATTTAATTGCTTTATTAGAGTTAAAGTAGGTATATATTGATAGTATTATATTTGTTTAGTTAAATTGTAAGTTAGATTTGGAATGATTTGTTTTAATCCTCTATTTGGTTCCGGGAAGCTCAGGGGGGGGAAGGGGTTTAGAAGTATTAAAATAAAATTGATGTATTCATATGTTATAATTGTATTGATAAGAGGAAGCGCTCGGTTGGTACCCCGGCTTGCACTCGAGGAGGTGGTCAGGAAGAGGGGGGATGTAGAAAGGGGAAGGAGGAAGGAGGAGAGGTTGTGGGTTAGAGGCAGGAAGGAAAGGCAAGTGGATGAGGGCGGAGGCAGGTCGGGGACTGCCGAGCGTTTCTGATAATGTATTGAGTTGGATTGTTTTTCTTTGTGTGTGTTTGTGTTATAAATGCATCATATTACTTATTGTTTAATTATAAAAATTAATAAAATACCAACAAAATTGGATTGGTAAGAAAAAGAGTTTATTCTGCAGAAAATAGAAAAGCGGTTTGCAAAGCACGGTGGATCCTGGTGAGAGACTTCAACAGGAAGTTCTAAACCCAGAGACCACACAAAAATATTCAAACTCATAACATTATATACACTCCTATCGCGACGCCCCCATCCCCTCCCCTTAGGTCCCATTTGAGAGGAC